TAATGTCAACATAGTTATCATACCTTTTTTTTCAGTAACGAATCTCTGCAGGGGTTTCGTAGATTTGAGCAATCTTGTAACCACCATAAAAAATTAGGAAATAAATATATATTATGCCTCTTTCATTCTTGAATGACAACCAATTAGGACACAAAAACATAAATGTTTAGACTAAATAGCTTAAATCTCATAACATTATGCATTTATATATATTTATTAATTCTATTATATTGACCTTCCAGTTGTGCCTGGCTAATAATACAGAAGTTACAATGACGCGGCACATGTGCTCACATGTTATGGTATCTGACAATATAAAACTGACCTTTAGTCCTTACGAAGTAACCTGTCTTAGCTGTGTTTTAGTAGACTAGTATTTTGTAAAATACGGTCACATTTCAGTTATTACACAATATATATGTATAGAGATTATTACTATTTAGAAATAAGTTCTTAAACTAATTTTTCTTAAAACCTAGAACAGTAAATAAAGAAGTAAAGCAAACAATTATCTCTTCTACTTACGTCCTTTGTACTTGGTTGCTGCTTGATATAGGTTACTAAGCCTTTTAAAATTTTGCATGTGGAAGATATCAAAAAAAGTAATTTTTTTAGTTTTTATATATACAGTTGACTAACCAAAAAATCTTAACTTACACCATCGATACCATAGAATTCCACTATAATTTATCAAGCTTAGTAACTAAGCTGTATTTCTGTCTAAAAAAAATATGAAATTTTGAACAGACTAAAGACACAACCTACTTCCTTGAAACCTTTATTTGAAAGAACAAGATGGTGACTTAACCTCATAACTTTAAAATGGCTGAGAAAGCCATCAGGTGGACATTCTGAGCTTTCAGTTGGTTATTCACAAGTCATATATTAATGTAAGTGTATATAAGGGACCATTTCCAAAATCCTGGTTTCTGCTTCTGCAGTACCTTCAGGAGTGCCCATCTCTTCCACTTCCTCTTTGGCCATCTTGTTTGAGGCATCTATGATCCAAAATTGTACACCCATCCATGCTGAAGCTCAAGCTTTGTGTGGTCCTTCACACAGTGTTGAGGTTTAACCTCTAAGGTTGCCATGTATTTGTCTCAGTCTTCACATAGTCCCATGATGAACATTTATCAACAAAAATGGTGCACATATTGGCAATGGTGTATTGAGAAGAGGTTGAACCCAGTTCACCAGAAGTGCCAACCATAACTCCTTTTTTGACTTGGCTCTTTGACAAGGTGTTGCATCTTCCAAATTCACCTTATATAAGGCTGCCTTATCTACCTTTAGATGCTTGAAACAAAAATTATTTGAGTTCCCAGTGCTCTTTGACCTCCAAGTCATTTCGGGTCCTTTGTCCCAATAGACCATTTCAGTTACCTAACTGGTATATTAGGGTGGTATTACATGCTCTTTCTCAACATCCATTTGAGACCTTAGCCTCTTATACCATGTATCATTTTTCCCTTAAGGTTTATTTTTTGTTGCTGCTGACCTGCAGACGTTGCCGTTTGGAGTTGTTTGCACTGATTGTGCACAAAAAACCTTTTCTATCAACATCTTCCTATACTCACAGGTTTTTTTTCCCCTAAGACACTGGTAGCCAGGGAAGGGGATAAATCTTTTTCACCAATTCATCTGACTACTATTTCTCACTGATTTTGCATAAGACACTGTCTACCTACATCTTCCTATACTCACAGGTTCTTTTTAAAAACTGTGAAGGTTAAGTTAAATTCTTAGTTTTCTCATATTAACAATTTTATGCTGAGATTATCTTGGGCAGGAGAGGTTCTTAAATCATTTTAAAGTTGAAAAGAAGTTAGATGCATTACAAACTATTAGGTGTGTAATCAAATTTACCATTATTTATTTTCCAATTAAAAATATTTTAAACTAACTGAAAAAAAAAAGTTGGGACTCGTGGAATACCCTTGCTTTTGTAATACAAGTATTATTGATTTTATATTGATTTATGAAAAGTATTAACTTCTCTAGTTATTTGTTTTCTAAGTTGGTGATGGAAATACATTCACTTTATATTTTGTTGCAAGTAATTGTTGTAACTCAAAAAAATTGAGTCATAAGAAGTTACTTTATAATCATCTATATCAAAATTATTTTATTTATTATTAGACTTTTCACTGTTGTAAAATTATTTTGACATATGGAACAGAAAATCATAGTATGTCACTACTTCTACAAGAAGTTGTTTTCCTGTAAAAATTTCATAGTTTAAAATTCTATTTTTAAAAGTTACTACTTTCTTCAGAACTACAGGCAGTGCAAATCCACAGAATTGCTGGAAAATATATTTTAAAAGTTACGTAGATTTTCTCATCTGTAGAGTACCCCATATGTAACTACCTAAGTTATCTAAGATACTTAGTTTTCTCATATAATATTGCCATGTTTACATTGTATGTAATTATCTAGTATAGTGAGATTCTTCAATTTTCACTGGGATTATCGTTACAGACTAGATTTAAGAGCATTTTTGCAGTATAGTCTGTTTAACAAATGTGTGGTTTTTAATCTAATAAATATATTAGCATAAAAACATTGTTACTAAGATCTCAGAGTACTGTAGAAATTCAGAGATAACATATAGCCTTGCATCTTTTGACTGAAACTGTGCTTTTTCTTATTCATTGTCATAATGTGTATTTGCCTTACAGCAACGTCTTGATCCTAGTATTTTGGACATTGACCCTGAAGCTAAGGCCATGCTTTCACTCATAAACAAGGGACCAGTAAGTGAGGGATTAAGAGAAAAGGATCCAATGGCTGATATGCCTGAAGAAAAGAACCTTCTTCCACTCTAGAAAACATGTGGTTGTGTGTTAAAAAATAATAATAAAGGTTTTTATTTCTTTTGTGTAATCTCTGATGGTAGTTTTTTTTTGTGTGCGTGTGTGTGTGTGTTTCTCTTGAATGGGTTTGTTTTACCTGCATAATTTGACAGTGGTTGTAAATTTTTGGTCTTAAATAGTCCTTTGTCTTTGATTATTGAGATAATTTGTTTTATTTTACACACAAGCTATGCATCTTGTTGAAGGTAAAACTATTTATATATATGTTTATATAATGTATTTAGAACCAGGTTGTAATTTTATTCTTTTCCTACCTTTGTTATAAAAATGAGACTTGTTTCTATAATATGGAAATGGAAGATGAAGTATATTTAATTTTGTTATGTGTTTCATTCTTTCACTTGTGCAAGCTGTTTTACAAAATATTGAAACAAAATTGATAACATTTTGCACATGAGAAATTATGATTCCGAGATGATAGCTAATCTGAGTATGGAGGTGAGTTATCTTCTTCATGCATCTGCCTAAGAGATTTGCATGCTACTAGCTTTGAGGCAACTCGAACCTAACTTCATATGTTTTGATGGAACTGCACTGGTGCATCATAATGTCTTCATGTAACAAAAGCCTTCCACCAAAATGTGCATTAATTCCACTATGCACTTGCACTCGTGATAACATCATTCTTCTCTTCAGCATTGTATTGAAAAAGATGTATAAATTTCTTGTCTAAGTTCAGTTTCTTGAGATTTTTCAATTTTAATGAAACTTTGGTTTTTTTTCAAATGCTTTAATTTTTTATTATGAATTCTCAAATGATAGTGACTTATACTTTGTCCTTTGCATGTGGGGTTGTTCACACACAGGCCTTATTTTTACTGTAACTTATGGAGGCTTGTTAACTGTTGGGGATGTCTCTGCCATTGTTTAATATGTTGTGGATATACATGTGCTAACTGGACCTCCTAGTCCTGTTGTGTCAGGTGAAATTCTTTCTTGTCAATTGGGAATGATCTATTTGGCTATCAATTTTCCATGATTGGCTTTGGGTAATGCCTTACCACTTGAGAAACGACTTGAACCTTACAATCTCATTTTGGATTTTATTCTCAGTTATGTTCTTTTCCTTCTTTTTTGCATGTGTTTTTTACTTTTTTTCCCTCTTTGCTTGTTATTAGGATTTTTACTGTTTCATTTCTCCAATAGCTCCTCTCTCACATCCGATTGCCTTGTCTCTTTCACATTTGTGATTCTTTTCAAGATTCCCTATCCTTGGTATCTATTTCACCAGCTTGAGTATTGGATCCCTTACCTTCTATTTTACTCTCTAGTTCCCCATTTTTGTGTTTTTATCTTTTTCTCATTACTCTCCTGAATCCACCTTTTATTTGGGCACTTCATTTTCTTCTCCCAGGTATCATTTGTGGTGTTCATTTCTCACTAATTACCTCAACTGATGTTATATGGCTTTGGTCCTCGCTTTCTTCCCAGGTTTCTCGCCCTTGCACTTTACTCCTGTCCCTTATCTTGATCAATCTACTCCTAACCTTCTCATACCAGGCCTTCCTCTTTTACTCATCCTCCCTCTACCAAAATTCTACTTCATTGCTTTTATTTTCCATGACTATCAAACACGTATGACTTTGTACCCTTCTTTTCTCCTACTGTTGGTCTCATTCTCTGCCAAAAGTAGTTTTTAATTTTTTTATCTTGATCTTTCTCCTTACTTCTCTTCCCATTTCTTTTTCTCCTCCCTCTGACCCCCATCCTTAGTTTTTTTCCTCAGTCCATAGTTGGCCATAGTTAATATGTTGGACACCTTCCTGCATATCACACTCAACCCATCTTCCATACATATTATACATTCTCTCCATCATTTTTTATCTTTCCATTCTTTGCACCTCCCTTTGACTTCACATTGGCCCCTTTTGTATTCACTGGTATTGTGAGGACTTTCACACCCTTTTCTTGGGTGATTGCCTTCTGTGGGCCCATTCTTGGATGGTCTCCTCTTCTCACAACCTGAGATTTCAGTCCTTTCTCACAACCACTCGTTATTTAGTACTCTTGGCCATTTTCTTCATCTGTTGTCTCAGTTAAGTTCACTCTTCTTCTTTCACTGTGAGCTATGGTGTATCTAATCACCAAGTGTTATTCTTCTCTTTCTATTCATGTACATGAGATTTATTTGTTTTGGGGAACTCTGGCTTCGTTGGTACCCCTCATTCCTTTGGGTCATGAACACGTGCTTTCTCCAGTGGAGCTTGCAGATTCTAGGATTTTTCCTTGGGTTCCATTGTTCTCATTTTTGAACCTCTCTTTGAAGAATTGTTGTGGTGACTAGACCATGCCCATACTACATCCAATATTCTCTTATTGCCTCTCTCACTAGATCTTCACTGATGCTTCCATCTCTGATTGAGGAACATCTATGGATGAGAGCAGAACTTTTAGCATTTGGATGCAGGATATGCATTCACTCCATATTAATGTGCTCAACCTTTTTCCTGTTTGCTGGACATGTTCCCTTTCCTGCCCCTACTGATGGATCAATTGGTCATGTTCTACTCAGTCAATTCTATGGTCATTTCTTGCATCAACCTTATGAGAAGCACCTGTTACATGACCCTTTGCTCTCAAGCATTGAACATGCACATCTGGGCTCATTCACATTAGGTTTGACTTACTGCATGTCATTTGCTGGTATCTAAGAGTTTTTGGGGGGACTCCCTCTCTTGGCCAGTCCATATTCTACCAATGGAGTGGTCTCTACACCCCCAGATCTTTTGTTGGGTTTGCTCTTGTTGGGCATGCCCCTCATGGATGTCTTTAACACTTTTCTCTACTCCTCTTTCCTCTCTTCTGATCTACTTTTCCTCATCATTTGAATCTGGGTGTCAATTTTCTCAGCCAGGCCTAGTTTCACCTCTTTCTATATGCCTATTACTCTATTCATCTCCTCTCTCAGGTCCTTACCTTATTCTGCATCACTCCTCGTCATATCCTATGGTTGCTGCCTCTTTGGCCAGCTTAGCCTTGGTTTCCTCTGCTTCTTTGCTTAGTATTCACTCTTTCTCTTTCTTCTACCTGATGAACCCTCTATCTTGCTTCACGCTCACACATCCCTTTTTCATCATGGGATAGCTTCTCTCTGCCTTTAATTGTGGGTTTGTCCGATATGTTGGGCTGGATTCTTCAGTCATATGGCTTTTTTTGTCACATTCCTGTTCCCCTTCCTCTGTGATTGTCTATTGACAACAGTGGAAGGTCTTTCATCATTGTTCCATCCTCCATTCCTTTACCCCTGACCATCCTACTGTGAAGCCACCTTTCTATATTTTTACCTGGCTGCTCCTCCATGATTTTTCAGTTTCTGCCTTTGCTGATTATTAGATGGCTTTGTTCATGACATGTTGCCTTTTCTGGTACCACAACGTGTTTCTTCCCCTGTACTCTTCACTTTGTTATGCTCCTCGTCTGAATCCCATAACTGACTGAGACCTTAGTGGGAATTTGTAAACTCTCACACATGCCCCATTTCAGCCATTAGCTTTCTCCTCAGACTTGTTTCATCCTTATTCTCACCTGTGGTCACCATTGTTCCATTGTATGAAAGCTCTCACATCCTCTTCCATCACACATCTATACTTCTCTCCCTGTACCAATCTTCCCTTCCTAAGACTTCAACCACTCTGAAGGTTAACTGTACTTTCTCTCTTTGCTCCCTTCCTTCTGTCTCTCACCTATTTAGTCATTTGCGCCCAGATTGCCTTCTGTGCCCTGCTCAAGCTGTTCAGTGTTCTTTATCATGGATCCCTCCCTTTCAAAGTCACAGCCATTGTCTGCCCCTACCCTTGGATCCCTCATCTTCTCAGGTCCTCTCTCCTAAACTTACTGGATGAGTCCATTGACTCTTCCTGTTGAAATATTTGTCTGTGGTTGCAATTGCTTGCAGGCTATTACACATTTCTTCCCATTCAATTTGTTACTTTTCTCATTCTCTTGCATCTGGCTCTGGAACAAGATCCTCCAAGTGGGCATGGGGAGGATTCTGCACATTTGTTTCTCCTTATCTTCACCATCAGGTTGTTTTCTGTCCTGATGGATTTTGGCTTCCAATGGTACAATTTTTTTTCAGAGCCCCTTTTTAATTTTGTAACATCCTGCCAAGTGGCTAGTGTTGCCTCCCAGGATACACTTACTCAACAACTACCAAGCCAGGATAACAGAAAGAGCTCATACCTTCCACCCTTATTCTACCAGTACCCACTGTGAGATGGAGTGTTCTGCAATACCACTTGAGTTATCCTTGTGATATACATATCTACTCAATTGTCCAATCCATATCATACCTATTGTATAGACTATCATGGAAAAAGCCAGTGCCAGGGAAGTGATCTACCCAGTTCTTTGGCTCAATGCTTTTTAAGTATAGGGGTTCTGCAGTCATGCAGACCTTTCATGATGGAGATCTGGGCACTTCTCCAGGTCTCCTCAATGTCTGTTCAATAGAGGTGAGGTGAGCACACACTATACAAAACCATAATACATCACTGATATGCTTTCTTCATGCAGCTGGAGTCTGTTCAGTAGAGTTGAGGTAAATGCACAAGGTACAGTCTGAATGCACCCCAACCACACTATACATATTGGCTCACTGTGCTTGGATGATCATGTTCTCATTCTGCCCATCCCAGCAACATATGGGGCTTACCTTATTCACCCCTTACATTCTGGGCAAAGAATATTCTGGTTGAGATCTAGTCTCCCATGGGTGTGATTCTATGGAGCTCTTGCCATCGGGTTTTACACTTTGTGGGCTTTCTTTCAGGTGCTTTCTGAAGAAAGCTGATGTAGGTAAGATTTTGCACTTGCCCCTCCACCAATTCAATGTGGGATTCTAGCTAATATGTGTGAGAAGTGAGTTATTCTCTTGGAAGTTAACATTTTCATTACCAAAAGAATGTATTTCTGAGAGGTACACACCCATCCTCCCCACTTCTGATATACATTTTTGTCCTGACTCATTAAAGAATGAAGTTATCATGAGTGCATGTGCATAAAGGGAATTAATGTGCATGAAGGTTGTCACTCTACTATTGGTGGAGGGCTTTTGTTGCATTAAAACACATGAAATTAGGTAGGAGTTACCTCAAGACTAGCGGCATGCAAATCTTTTATGCAAAAGCAAAAGATAAATAGCCAGAGATTTCTATCAGACATACATTTTCAGGGATTGAAAATACTAATATTTTTGAAATTTGATTAGGGTAAAGCTCTGTGTTGGTAAACAGATGGTCAGAACTACTGAGATTAAAACACATTTTTGAAATGTGGCAGAGTACCATTTATACAAAAATATTTGTAATTTGTGAGATCATTGATGATTGGAAGTTATATTGAACACCGTTCCATTAAATCAAGACAGCAAATACAGTTTCAGATGTTCTTAATTATACATTTTGCTATTTATTATAAAATGTAATAAGATAACTACAGTATCTGGATATATGTTTAAAAAAGTAATCTTTGCTGAACTTCCTGATAAGAGCTTATGAATGACACAGTTGCAATGTCCAAAGGGAATTAATCTCAACTTCGTAACATTATTTGAATAATGCTTTCTTGAAGTGTTAATTGTCAAACTGTTCTGATATTGCAAAAAGCCTTTAAATATTAGAATGAATTAACACCAACACTACTTTAAAACATCATCATGTATTCTTACCCTTACTAATGTCAGATAAACAGTGATGTGTTGGAATATGTGTATTTTAAATTTGCTAAGCCCTTACACAGGATTGTATTTAGATTATTGCAGTATCCTAATGAAAGCTTAACAATGAGACTAGGTAGTAAATCAAAAAGATACCTTGTTATTGACATTTTGCTAAAGTACTTAAATCTCATTATTATGAACCTGTTACGAAGTAGAATATAAAAACTAAAACTTAAATGCAGTATCATGAAAAATCACTGGAAATAAGATTTGAATACAGTATTATCATATAACCTGAAAGTAAACCTTTTCTGGAGATGAAAATATATAATACTTAGTTCATTATTAGTTGTAATATGTTTATAGAAGTGTGCTAAATATGAACAGAAGGTCATATATATATTTAGATAAATGATTTTTTTGTAGAGAGTTTTGAAAGGATTAATATCACTGAATTCTATTCATTAGTTGTAAGCTTCAGACTGACAATTATCAGGCTATCCTGAAGTTGTAACTGTTACTCATCATCAGCTTGACTCACTACAGTCTAATTCTCCCTGTTAATAAATACATCACATTTTCAGATATGTCGTGATACTTAACAAGTTCTTAATTTTCTCAGGAATATGCTCTTTTCTATGGGTTGAGAGCCATGTAGTAGTAGAGTATGATATATCTCCTTGTGTAGGAGAGGTATCCAAATTTACAAATAACAAATGATTTCTTATTTTTTATATTACATCCTTGAAATGAAAAAGTTTTTTTGTTCTACACTAGACTTAAAAATACATTTCATTTGAGCCTAATGATAAACTCTGCCTAATATTAAACCTAACTTTTCTACTTATTGTGAGAGTTCTCTTAAATATGGTTATGCTATTACTACTGATTTCACTGGAAAATCAAAGTTCAGGACTTAAGGGTGGTCAGTATATTTAGCACTTCATTGATGTTACTGTCAATGAAAGTACTATTAAGAGGTAGTAAAAAATTCCTGAGGTTTATTAAAGATTCAAAGTCTACAAGGGAAAGATAATTGCAGTAGTATTAAATGCAATTAAAGAAAGATAAATATTATAGTGTGAACACCTTTTCCAAGCTAGTGAAGCACAATTATAATTAATTAGGCCCTTATGTATTTCAAGAATTAGACGAGTATAAAATAATTGGCATTCCAACTACACTATGTTCCCCATATCCATTGCCAACAATATGTTTTGTTGGTTCAGAGCTCATTAGGCTGGTTGAGACACAACAAACAGTAGTGGTTGTAACACTTTTTATATAGGCTATTTGTTACAACAACAATTGTTACAGTATGAATAAATAGCCTATATAAATAGTGCTCTGACCACTACTTTGTTTGTTGTATCCCAGCCAGCTTGATGAGTTCTGGATTGAGTGAAACACATCATTGGCAACGGCTGAAGTACTATTATTATACACTCTTCTAATTCTTGAAATTCCTGTAAGAGTAGATAGAAAATGTAGTGTTAAAAATATAATAAGCTTAATATTACTTTCTTATGACAAGTATAATTAAAGAACATAATTATAATGGAGAGTATTTACCAGTGGGTTCTCATGCTAGGATAATGTTTTGAGTTTCTATAGAAGTACAGTGGTCACATAGAATCTAAGCCACTTTATTGTATAAGGAATATTGTGGACATATTTAATATTTTTCAGTCACAAAATCATGTTGAGAAATGTTTTCAGTATTATAATAGCAAATATCCAAATATAATATTAATGTTGAATCTGAAGAAGTATCTACTTATTTGTAATTGAAGTAGATATGTACTATAAATCAACTTTGTAGAAATTTACGCAAATTTTTAATGATGGTGTTCTTTCTTTGTAAGATATTTATAGTAAATGTAGTAATGATACTTATTAGTCATCTTTACTGGATTGTAAGCAATTATTTTAAATTTTTGGGTGAAATAAATCATATCAACAACTTTCTGAAACAGTAAGTTTGATATCAATATGAATTATATGCTAAATATGCTGGCAACCTCAAAAGTCTTGTGAAGTCTAGTATGACAAAGGAACCAGTAGTAATAGTGTTATCATATTTAAGATAAATTTACATTATAACAAAAGATAGTTAGTTTTAATATTAGGCAAAGTTTATCCTTAGGTTTAAATTAAAGATTTTTAAGTCTATTGTTAGAATCAAAACTTTTCTTCATTTCAAGAATGTAATGTCCACAATAAGGGGCCATTTATGATATACAAATTTCTATGTCTTTCCTGTGCAGAAGAATATTTTGATTCTACTACCAGGTGGCTCTTCACCAGTATAAAAGAGCATGTTTTGGGGAAAATTCAGAACTTTTCAAATATTGCACAACATATTGTAAAGTGTAACAAACTTATTACCACTGAAAATTCTACTATAGTTAGGAGATTTGATGATAAGGAACAATTACGAATTGCAGAAAGTTTGATAATTGCAGGGTTGAGAATTCCCACGTGGATCTGTGGTTTCCCATGGATTTTAGTGTCTACTGGGTCACTATGTAAATCATGTAAATTTGAAGAGAAAATTTCAATTGATAAGCCTCTGAGTCTTGGTGAGTCCTAAACTTTTTTTTTTTATATTTTGGTTTATTTTTTAGTCTTTTACTAAATTGTACATGCTTATGGGTTTGCTTTGCTGATGGTTTTTAGATTAAATTCAATTCTGAATAATATCTAATATAGATACATTATGGAGTAAACATTGTTGTAACTTCTGAGCATCGATAATATCTGCTAAAATGGATTGAGTTTTGAAAAGAATTGATGACGAGGAATACCATAAGGTTTGCAAGATCGATAAGAATTCACAAAAAAGACTTGGAGATGAGCAAGGATGGATAAAGAGGATAAAATTGAACTGAAAAGCATGAAGGGTGAGACAGAGAAAGAGCAACATGTGCTTGATGAATTTTATCACAAAATCCATACTCCTGGTATAGTAGTTTGCTATATTTCTCAAAATATGACTATTAAATACAGCACAGCTAGTATCGGTGCATTAAAAGACCATATTCAATTGAAATGCCACAAAAAGTCAGTGCACGCCACCGCTTCTACCCATTACATAAATCATTTTGCACAGCTAACGTCAAAGGAACCACCTACTGTAGATGAAGAAGCTACCACTACATCCAATATGAGCCAGCAGATCCAAACAATTTCAGCACTACCAGCTTTGGTGTGTGGCAAAATTTTTACTGCATCTAGATGTACATGTCTATTGGAGTAAGTATATAATTATCCCTCCCCCACTTAATCTACCAGTGCTTAGTCATTTATGTTGAAGATAATATGACAAATTTCATTATGATTTTCTGAGCAGGTGACTCCTGGAAATAGCATTTCAACTTTAAGAGGGCAATGCCCCTTTGTAACTCTATTTAGATTAGTAATAGAAACCCCTACTGGGGCATTGCTCCTGGACCCCAATGGGGGCCTGCTAGCCCCAGATTTCCAGTGATTTTTCTCATCTTCTGTTCTCATCCCTGTAATTGCTATTCAGAAACTTAAAATTAATCAACAGAATTTGATAGTACCCTACTTTTGAAATTTAAAAGATTTTTTTTTAATGTATTTGATTTAAAAAAACACTGAAACAATTTTTGCACCTTCCTTTTATAGAAATGAGCTAGAAAATAGAGTAGCTTTGGGATTTCTTAATTATAATAATAATATTCTTATTTTTCTTTTTATATAACATCTAGACTTAAAATTAATGTTCGTGCACATTTTGTCAGTAAACTTAGCAAATCTAGAAGGATAATAAGTGTTTACTTGTTTTCACTATGCCTTTTATAAGCACATCATTTTTGTAATATATCTGATATTATAAAGTGCTAAGTGTTTGAAATCTTACATTCTAAAATGATATGATTACCTTCTGGGTCTGCCCTTTAGATTTTGTGCATGGCATTGTAACGTAGCAATAACCCTCCACCAATATGAGGGCAACACATCCTCCGTTGACAGTAGATTCTCATAAACACTTGCACATGAAACTAACTTCATTCTTATCCTTGACACTGTCTTTAAATTAATTTATATTTAAACTTAATCAATTTCATGACATATACACTGATTTTTTTGACAGTGTTTAACCTTGGTTTTTATTTAGCTTATTTTAGCTTTGATTTAAGGCTACATTGTCACTAAATAACTAAAAAAAATTTATCTGTAGAATTGCTGTGATAATCATAAATTCTCAAGTGATGGTGACTTCTACCTCCTCCCGATGTTCTAGTAATGTTGCTAACATTACCCCTACTTTGTCTGTGGTCACTTGAAGCTAGATGACTGTGGAATATGTTACAGCCATAGTTCATCTTGTCGTGAGTTCTTTGATACATTTCTTGCCTCTTTATCTGTTGAGGACAATGTTCCTCCTCCAAATTTCTTTGTGGATATGATTACTCAGGCTTGTTTTTTGCTGTCTCTTTCTCCTATGTCCTTTGATTCTTCTCATTCTTTACTACAACTGTCACACTGAGGATTATTTGTTTTTTGTCTCTTTCTCTAGGCATGCTCCTGGATCAGCTTTCCACTCTCAAATGCCTCATCCTCCTCAACTCCAGAATTCCTTTGCCATGGGTTATGGCTCCTATCTTTTTCTGTTCCTGGATATCCAATACACGGAGTCCCTTCTACCTGCTTGGGGATTGACTCCATCTCCTGTAACACTCTTTAGTGCTAGATTTTCCCATCTTTACCTTTTTCTTGACCATATCCTTTGTTACCTCTCCTCCATTTATCTCCTATCTGAAGACCTACATTGTAATCCTGGTAGCTTTTCAGGAGATATATGGTCAGCTCTTTCCATACCTTGGCCAGGGTTGTCCCTGCTTACTTGGTTTCTCCATTCTTGGGACCATCTTGGACATAATGCTTTTCTCTTTACCCTTTATATTCCCTGTTCTTACCTCTTTTTATACACTCTGAAGTTTTCAAGGGTGCTCCTAATGGTTTGGAGACTGTGGTCAAGGCTGCTTGATAACGGTACTCTCTTTCCTCATTGGTTTCTTGTGTCTCATAATTTTGTGGTTCACTAACATTCTTGACCTTGTGAATCCTCCATCTCGCTCTCTTCCTGTTTCTTGTTCCTCTACCAATTCTCACCATCTGCCCTGTTTTATAGGTTTGGTTGGTCAAGTATTCTAAGTCATTCCTGACTCAGACTCAATACTTGGTCCACCTTGTAGTCTTTTTCAATCCTGGACTCAGCCTCTCCCCCCCCCCACCTCCATTCATCTCTGGGAAATGGAGCATCTAATCACCTTAAAACTTGTCTTTCCTGTGGGAGAGGTTCTATTTCTTCTGGGGACTTGCATTTCTGGAACATCCCTCTGTATTTGTACCCTTCTTCCATGTGTCTTGGTATAGATCTGTAACACTCCTTGCTGTATCTTGTTGGTAGCACCTTTTTGGTTGGCTCAGTCTTGGTTTCCTCTTCTTCGCTGACTAGTATCCAGGACAGCTCTTCCTCTGCTTCCATCACAGTCACTCTTGCTCCTGCTTCATATGTCTCTCTTTCACCTGGTAATATTGTCCCTTCATCTTCATACATCCTCACACTTTCCATGAGCCTTGGAAGAAATCACCCAGGCTGGCATGCAGACTATGCCCAATACCTTCATCTCCCATTATCTTCACCATCTGGAAAGAATGTAAGGTTAATAAATTGTACAACAGAACACATACCAAATTGCATGGTCTGATCATTCCCCTAGCCACACTATATCTTATGTCCAACCAACCAACTTGTTCTTTCCATGGGCTTTCCTTTACAGTCACATTCTCCAAAGGGAGTTCATCTAGTTTTTTACTATTGCACTGACTCCTCCACCACATTTATGTGGGATTCTAGTTATTGTGAGCATAGAGATAAGTATATTGTTTAAGAAGTTAACAATCTCCTTACCTGATTGATATTTACCTCTCTACATACCTTCCCATCCTCCTCCCCACTACTAGTGCACATTATTCTTGCCTCATCCACGAATGAAGTTAATTTCAAGTGCAAGTGCTTATTGGAATCTACTATGCCATGGAGGATGTGCCTCCCTCCTATTGGTTGAGGACTATTATTGAATGATGATGACATTATGCAATAGCACAGTTCATGATAAAATGTGTTTTACATGGCTAGTGGCATGCACAAAATCTCAATGGTAGATGTGCAAGGAATAGTCATTGTGTGAAGAGATGTAATTATTTTTTGGAAATACATTATCAGGTAAGGAAAGTGTTAACATGAATGTAGTTTAGATTTTAATATCAGCTTATGAAAATATAATCTGTGTGTGTATAGTAACTTTGCCAGTGTGTGTGTGTGTGGGGGGGGGGGTATTGATCACTTTTTTAAGATTTTGTAATCATTATACTTGCATGCCTGAATTGTTAATAAATATAAGTATTTGGATCTGTTCACTAAACACATTATAGGGTATGTAAACTTACAGTATAAAGAAAAATGTCTATTATTTTAGTGAGATATATAGTTTTGGAAAGAACTTTTTACTTATGAATACTGTCAAATATTATAGTGTAATAAAGCATAAAGGTACAAGAAATGTTTTAGAAGTGGTATATGTGGCTTATCTTGACTCACATTTATGTTGTTCTGTATTAAATACAGAAAGCTATATACTGCTGCATGTGGTAATTTGCTTTCAAAAATGCTCAGTAACTTATAATATGGCTTTCAAAGATGCATTATAATAATCTATAATCTGTTGTACTTATATCATTTTCATTAAATATCTGGTAACTTATAATCTGTAGAAATCTGTTAGTCCATAATCTGCACTATAAAAATCAGTTTTTCAAGGCTATGGAATATTGTTATTAGGAACAATTCACAATTTTTTTCATTCCATAGTATGCCCTTAAAATGTTTGGTTAAAACTTCATTTTCCATAATTTGTATTAGGAAGATTATAGAAGGGATTTCCTATTTATCCTAATCAATAACTGCCTCAAGAAATTTGCCAACAGTTCAAAACAAGAAAATTCAAGGTGAACAAGGTTAAGTTATGTCTGCTCTCTCTACCTGTGTATGAAACACATCACACAGAATCTAATAATGTGCAAAGAGTTAGACTGTGATGAATATTCATGTATAATGAACTTGTGGTATTTCTAGTGAATCCACAGGATACTATAAACCAAATGAATTGGGGCTACTGATATCTAATTGATATAGAGTGAAAGCCATAAATAATTCTTATAACAGTAGATAAATATTTGAATGATTATTTCTTTTATCGGCAGTGATCATCAACTATTTATCAAACAAACTTCTACTCATACAGTAGAAAACAATAATGCATTTATGTGGCTTTTTAAGCTTAAGTTAATTTATAGCTTCTACATAGTAGATTCCTTGTTTGTTTTTAATATACACAATGAAATACTTCTTAAATTCTAAATTAGCTAATGTTTTAAGTAAGTATATGTAACTAACAAAAGTCCAACACTGATACACTAATACAGAAAATAATTTCTAAATATAATCCTATTGAGAACAAGCCTTTGAATATTAAACATTAAGGATCAAACTTTTGGTGAACAAAAACCTAGATTACTCAAGAAAGATTGCCTACTAGAAAGTCAATTTTCAAAATTCAAGCATTACAGTGGTGTGGAAATTATTTCTGATTAAAAACTGCCTTCTAAAGCCTTGTACTAATTTCTCTACTCTGCACTTTCGAAAAGCATAACCAACCTTTACATTCACCATGTGGATGTGAAATTATCCTCAAGGTATATACATCTGGCTAGTTTATGCATGTTACATAATTTTATGGTCTTCTCTATTTGTCTAAGAATAAAGTCTGGTTCATTTTCTAGGAAACTGCTACTCATTACAGTGGCAGAGGGAGACCTTTTCTAACAACAAGGAAAGAAAATTCTTGAATTGCATTAATGTGTAGTTAACACATATAAAACATTTGACAGACTATATTTCAAAAAAACTAAATGATCATTGTTTTTCTCTTCCACAGGCATGTCTTCTTTCATCTCATAGTTCTCTTCCACCATAGTTCTTTTTCTTGATCAAACTTCATAAATATAATAGTGTGGCTTGAAGCTATTCCTCTGATGGCATCCAGTGTCCTTATTCCTTTCCAACTACATCATTACTGGTCTTCACTTAATAAGTAGACACAATGGGCAGACGGCAAACGATCTTTGTAGCGGAAAAGTTTTTAGTCTGAAATTGGGTTTCATAATGACTTTCAGGTAGATTTGGGGATAGTAAAAGTTACATAATTTTTACATTTCTTATTTTCCGCTATACTGATAATATCCAACCTTTTCTTGACTATCTTAATTCAGAACACCTATAGAATTCACTCATCAAATTGAGACAAATAACTGATTGCCTTTCTGGACGTTCTTGTTAATCATAATGGTAACGGCTTTTCAACTTCTGTCTATCGTAAAAACACATTTACTGGCCTTTTCATTCTGTTTGACAGTTTTATACCCTTCTCTTTCAAATGCAATCTTATTCTCTGTCTACTAAATAGAGCCTACAAATTTACCTCATCCTGTCTAGCTATTCACAAAGAAATTATTTCCATACAAAGCATTCTCTTTCGAAAGGGCTACCCCATGCATTTCTTGGAGAAAATAACTTCATCTTAACTAATTTGTTTTTCAAACCACCTAGAATACCCACTGTACCCAAACTTCCTTTGGCAGCATCATATCCTGTCAAACAACTTTCGAAGCAGGCAGAGCGATGTTCAGGAAAACCTAGAAAAGCTGACTGGGGAGGTAGTTACCCTGTAACTACAGTTCACCACACTCGAAATTGAAAATCACATGTTTGCCTTCTCAGATGATTATGTTACCAAGGTCTAGCTACTTTTCCAGTTCATCAGGGTAGATAGAACCATTGATTGACATCCTCATCTCGGCTACTACTGCTATAACACCCTCACTTCTTTATCATATATTGGACAAACTTGTCCTGGTGGTTACCTGTTTATCTCATTTACATGGACCAACTATTAGAAGTAGTTCACGAATAGAAATCGTGCAGTCAGTCAGTCTAGTCAACAATTCAGTTAGGTATGGACTGACATAGCCCTTCAATGATATATAATTCCTGACTGAAAGTATAAAGGTGGCATTAACCACAAATCTGGAGAACTGGAATGTTGCTTCTTAACAACCTTTTATCTCAACAGCATTGAAGAAATGTGTGGCCTGCAAGATTGATTGAGTGAGTACAAACGAGGCAGCCCCGAACAGATGCAAGCGATACAAGGAAGGTATCTTCAAGTTGCTGTTTCATTACATGGGGAACTCATGACAGATCCACTCTCTCTTGATGGAGAGGTTAATGACAATGATGAAACAGTGCCAATAATAAACATTGCCACAGGAGTATTAATGTTTTTAGAGCAGAAGCTGAACATCAGTGAGATGAACTTTCTGAATGCTATATCAGTCCTCAGTGATGTGGGAACAGCGTTCCCTTACCTATTTTTCAGCCGAAACGCCGTTCTCTCACTATTTCGAACGAATCCGACCTTACAAATCTTAAAATTTGTAAAGTTTTGCTCACCCCTAGAAGAAGAAAGAATCATTAACCATTTCATCCAGGTTGTAGGCATGTTATCAAAGTATAATGAAATAAAATATTGTAAAATGCAAAATATAATGTGTAGATCTGTTAGTATTGATCACAAAGTTCCAAACAACTTATGGTCAGAGTTTATACTTCTCACTGTTTCACACATATTTTCTGTAGTTAATATATTGTTAGCAACTGACTTAGAAACTCTGTGAAACAAAATGAATAGTACTGTCGGGACTTTTCACTATGGACCACGAATATCCAAAGAAAATCTCTTGAGAATTTCTACTTCCAATTTTTTCACACCTATTTCCTATGTTTATTTTACTGACAGTGGCTGAAGCAGAAACTTTTCGAAAATAAAGCAATAAATCGCCACTCTTGGCATTAGACTTTTCCTGGCTTCGAAAACACAATTGTGTAAGGTTTTTCGACTTGTTTGTAGTACAGTAATTGCAACAAGCATTGTCTAAAGTTCAATATAAAATTAGAGAAAATATTTACGACATAGCTGTATACAAAGTCTAATCCAATCCAATAGATTTGTTAAGTATCTTGACTTAATCCTGTAGACTCCCAGTGGAGCATAGGGCCGCAACAACACCTCGCCAACGGACTCTGTTCTGGGCTGCTCTCCTCAGTTGGGTTCACGCCATTCCGGCGGCCTTCGCTTCACTCCCGACTGATCTCCTCCACGTCTGTTTTGGCCTCCCAGCTTTTCTTTAGAAGTCAATGAGTGGCCAGCAGAGATGAATCCAGGCTTTGGAGAGAAAGAAATAGAATCCCTTTGTATACGTTTCAGATTGCCATTTTCAGAAACAACCACAGCATACGGAGACTTTCTAGACAACTGTGGGCGCCATATTCCATCCAATCTTAATCCTTTAATCGGGCATTTATAAGTCATCCTATACAGTTCTTCCAAATGCGAACGAGGCTTTAGCAGCATGAACTTTATCATTATGGAAACGCGGTCTAGGCTGTTAATCAACCATGTGACAAATCTCGTGTTCATTAACTTCATGGCCCTCTGATTCAAAACTGGAAACCTGACGACTATGTATAACAATTTGCTTAGGTGTCATTGTTCAGCAATTGATACACGAGCATGAGTAACCAAGTCCTAGGAACTCACTATGGACCTAGCTTTGAAGTTATTTTAATAAGTTATCCAGTAATTCAAAAGTTCAAGGTGAAAGATAATTAACTTTTTATTGAAGCATTTTCAAATGTAGATTTCAGTTACAATTTACAACTACTATTTCAGAAACGTGTTTTTACGCATTGGTGGAGTAATAAATACCCCCCTGTGGTATGTCTGCGGTTTTGTACTGCTAGAAATCGGGTTTCGTTACCAGTTGTGGGTAGAGCACAGATAGCCCTTTGTGTACCTTTGTACTTAATAATAAGAAACAAGCGTAATAAATACTAATCATAGTAACACTTTCAAAACACGTTCCCTAACTTTTTATTTAGCACTACTCGACTGTCAGTCCTCAACATAAAGACATTTGCTACACTGGCATAGAAGAAACTAGTAAATACTGTTACATCTCCGTTCGTTAGTTGATTTTCCGTAACTTCGTTCCGACGAAACTTTAGCGACACAAATTCTTTCTTAATAAAACTGGTTTATTCTTTCCGAATATAACTTTACCAATACATTTATTTTCAACAGTCGCTCTATAACAACGAACTTCAACAATACTTTCTGACTGCAGTTCAATTACTCACTACCTACACTCATTGTCCCGTCACGTTGTGAGCGTCTTAAATATATACCAGACAAACATATATCTAGTAAATGCTAGGGCATTCACGAAGGAACAAGATATTTCTAGAAAATAGGTGGCGTGACACTAGTCACGCGACCTCGCTGACGCAACACTGCCACTCCTTAGTATTGTTCGTCCCGAAAACTAG